GGGTAAGGGAAAAAAAGGTAATAGATTTTTTTACGATTGGAAGTTAGATTCCTTAATCGGTCATTATCCTCTAATATATAGAGAAAGATAGTCTTATCCCATTAGGGAACACATCCAAGACGCAATTTACAAGTTTTCCACGTCACAACACAAGTCAGGCTCAAGTTAGACTCGGAACGGTCTCGAAAAAATTAGCTTAGTCAGATCCTAAAACCGGCCAAGCCAGTTTTCCATGATGATGGCGGTATGAAATAGAAGGGCCAATGAGACGAACATTTCAATTTATGAAACAAATACATTTTTTACACAATTTATTTAGCACTACTTGTGTTTCAATCACAATACGGCCAGTGAGTATATAGTGCCTTGTATCCTCAAAGGCACAGTAGGACAGTGACCAGCCACCAGCCACCAGCCTCCAGCCTGTTCATTTTTCCTTCTTCACAGGTCACAATGAGACACAAAACTAGAGCATTACACAAGAATGTCTCTTTTTTTGGTCGTGTAAAGTTCCGGTAGATGTTTTTCTTTGGAGACATTTTTTTTGAAACAAATCAGGCAGGAGAGGTGCCGATTATATTAAAAAAAGAGAAACCCAGACTGGGCAATACAATGAAGTAATAACAATCCCTGACGATGACGACGAAGGCAACCACTACAACAAAGAAAGCAAGCAACCCAAAGCACCCACCAAGGTTAACAACCACCACCACAACAAAATAACCTGACAACAACAGGAGTAAGGCTCGACAACATTAGTGCAGTGTAGCGAAAAGGCAAAGAGATCCCCACTACAACCTCCCAGAAAGCATGACCTTTTGTACACATGAGCGACTCGATGAGATCCAGTGGCAACAATTCTTTCATGCATTCTGTATATTCTTGGATTGCATTCTCATGAGCTTTCTGTCATTTGTAATAATCACCAGGTCTTTTAGAACTTTGTTCTTGGCAAGGCGGCCGCTACGCTGAACCGATGATTTCTCATAAGATTTGCATCGGCGTCTCATCGCTGGTGTCATCAGTGGTGGTGCGTGTACAGGAGGGCCTGTACAATCTTCGATCTTCAAGTCGATGGTGTCCACGTCCTCCTTTGGTGGATCATTTGGTGCCTTGGGCTCTTCTATCCTGATATCATCAATAGACTGAGTGGATCCATCTGCTGCGGTGATGGCAACAATAGGGTCCTCAGCTATCTTATCTGTGTCTATCTCATCTTCGTCTTTGTCGGATGCATCTTCCACCATAACAATATCTTGAGAAGACACATCATGTTCCATGGCCAAATTCAATGGAGATCCCATGTGCAGCAAAACGGAGTTAGCTACGGGCTATGATGCTCTCTCCACGATGATAGGAGGGTCACAAATCTTAGTGGTTGATTGCCTAGCAACATTTGCAGTGTTAAGTTCTCCGGTGGAAATAACAGCTTGGAGCACGTTTGCTCCCTTCATCGCCCTTGGTTTTTCTCCTGAGACATTGACCATGAATGGCGAAGTGCCAAAAGTTCATCACAGGTTTGTATAAGAATACGACTAAAGGGAGAGGAACAGGACGCTCTGTCACAGATGCTTCTATGCTGGATGGAATCTTCTCCACTCTGTAACCCAACACCTGCCTTTGTTTCCTTGCTGCTATTGTGTCCTGTTCCTTGTCGTGCAAAATACGTGTCCGGTGACACTATCAATACTATTTTTTTAATCAGTCCTGATTAATCTTGTGCATCATGAGAAGAACAACTTTTGGATTTCATTACTAAATACTCAACAACCTTTTCCATGCATATAATTGAATGTTCTTAACATCATTAGTCGGATTCCTAATAATGTACCGACCTGACAGAGCAACTACTTTTTAATTTGTGTTAGTAGATTATCATTTAGGTAGACCAAACCTAAAAGGGAATTTTATAGACACGACAGGCGTGCAAACATATCATTGCCGCGATGAAAGGTTGCGAACCATGTCAGTTCCGCTCATCATGCAACCGAAGGACTTTTTTCTGCTGTGCCAGCAGTTTGTACTTTGTTGGCTGGGACAGAATAAAAAATAGCTACGTCTAATCCGGGCTTCCATGTTTTTTTTTGTTTTTAGCCCTTTTTTAAAAAAAAATTCACAAATATGTCTGTGGAGGTATGCTTTCAAAATCTAGACCCTTAGCTCGGCGCCATCGTTGGTGGTGCCGAGCTTACATGTCTCGGTGCAATAGATTTTGGCGCCTAGGTCTTGGCCTCGACGCAGAAGTGGCGGTGACTTGACACGCACCTTGGTGCCGTAGATCTTGGCGTCGAGCTTGGTGCCGTGGTTATTGGCGTCAAGCCCTGTCTTACGTATGGGCCCTCCCTTCCTTTCTCTCTTTCGCTCTCTCTACCGCTCCCGAACCAGGGCACCGCCAGCGCTACCACACCGCTGTGCCCGCCACCGCGCGTAGCCCCTGCCGTTCGCCTCGCATAGCCCCGCGCCCGCCCCTGCGCCCGCGCCGGCCCCCGCAGTGCCGGCTGCCCACGGCCCCTACCCGCTCGCGCCGCCTCGCCGCGCGGAGCACCGGCCGTCCCACGCCCGCCGCGCGCCGCCCCTCCCGGCCCGCGCCGCCTTGTCCATCCTGGCTCGCCACGTCCGCTGCGCGCATAGGTGCTCCCTCCGGCGACCCCGGCCACGACACGGCCCCCGCTCCCAGCGCGGCGACCTCGCCGTCGATCCCGTCCTCTGCGTCCCCGTCCTACTCCGGTCCCGGCGTCCGCGTCAACGTCGCATCGTTGCATTGACTTGGACATGTAAAATTTTTGAATATGCAATGTAGGTACTTAGTTAGGTTGAATTGTAGTGCTACTTTGATTATTTGGCAGCTTGTAGTAAATTTGATGATGTAGATAGTTGATTTAGTTAGTGAGATAGATATAGTTAGATAAATATAGTTAGATAGCCAGTGACACAGGTACATAGATATAGTTATTAGATAGCTAGTTGATTTAGTTAGTGAGATAAATATAATTAGATAAATATAGTTAGATAGCTAGTGACATAGTTATTTAGGGTGTAGTTGGTTAGTATCTATTAGAGAGGTACTATATAGCAGCTACTTTGGACTAAACGAATTGTATTTCAATTTTTGTTTAAACTACTAAATGGATAACCTAGTGAGCATATATCATCGAGGCACCGTGGAAAGAGATTGCTATGAATATGTTGAGTTTGTTAAGATACAAAGCGTGCCTGTGTTATTGAATGAGAAGCCTTTATTTAGTGAGTTGGTTGCAAGTATTCGGGAGGAGCTACATTGCCATGGAGCTGATGATGATGATGGCATCGCAGTGGAGGGTGTACTTCACCTAGGTTCCCCTCCCAATATCCTAAGAAAGATGATCCCAATTGGGTGTGCAGACCAGTGAGAGAACTATGCGAGATCGGCTATAAAGTGCTACTTCTAAAGTTTGGACATGATTTTGCGTCGGGTGTTAGTTGATCCCATCCCTCATGGGTTTTCCCCACCAATGGGTCAGCAGGCACACTTCGATCCTCCCATCCCGGAACCTGATATGGATGTGGAGGTTGCACCTATGGTTTCCAATGCTCAACCTGCCCCTAATGAGCTAGTTGGAGATGCTTGTCAGACTCATGATGTTGTGGCAGATACTCCTTATGAGATCCCTTTGACACAGAATCATCTGAGTAAGTGTCTTATTCGTATGGTTATTGAGAGCTTACCTCCTTCCTTACATCTATTTTTTTCATTCTTTCCTTATTTTTCTACTTATGTTGCAGGAGACAATCCTGACAATGTGGATGTGCCCACTATTACTGTGTAAGTGCACTGTGGAGATGGATTTCGTGGCTCTAATAGTGTTGAAATTATGAATGATTCTGAGCCATATGAGATGGCAAGGACTCTTGATTCTGATGATGATCGTCCTGTTGGAAAGCTGACAGAGAGTGATGTTGACATGCTGAGGCATATCTTTCCCGGACGCCATGATCTAAGAGTTCACGAGTTCAGCGATCTTGCTCATTCCGATCAGGTGTGTGCAGAAGGACGTGATAATGAGCTCCTAGAAACTCATTAGGCCGGCCCTAACATGTTAATTGAGAAGGGTAGGGTATTCAAGGGCCTGATTCGTGAGGTAGGGCGAAGTGGGGAGTGAAAAAACCCAAGAAGGTGGAGAAAGAAGAGGAAGAAGGCTCGGGCAGAAAGGTTGGGCGCCGGGTTAAAACACCACCTCAGTGCCAATAACCACGGCGCCAAGCTCGGCGCCAAGGTGCCTGCTAAGTCACCGCCACGTCTGCGCCGAGCCCAAGACCTAGGTGCCAAAATCTATGGCGCCGAGACATGTAAGCTTGGCGCCACCAACGATGTTGGCGTCGAGCTAAGGATCCAGATTTTGAAAGCATACCTCCAGGGACATATTTATATTTTTTTTTAAAAAAAGTGGTAAAAAACAAAAAATTCGGCCCCGGCTTCCTTGTCCGGATGACATAAACAAAATAATCATGCATCATAGCAAGACGCTAAAAGGGGTTAGGATTCTACATAGGAGTGGTTGACACCAGCTCACACAAAGCTTAAAAGACTAGTATGATGCAGGCAACAAACAATGTAAGGTACCAACAGAAAACTAAAGCATCCAGCAGCTGTTACCAAAAGCATGAAACATCACATGTATTTAAAATTTCATCAACTTGATGTCTATAAGGCTAAACATCATTACATTACATTAGATTAAATTGCAAATTCGTGGGGAAATTCAAGAAAACATCTTCTTTTCGCCTTTTTTGTTTTCTTGGGCTCTGCTGAGCTGGAAACTTTCAGCCTGAGGCGATTAGCGTGTAAGAGTCCTGTTTCTATGCACGGGTGTATGTACAATCATGGAGAATTTCCAATGATTGGAGCCCAACCCAGTTTGTTATGTGGCCCTGCGCCAGACATGCCCTCTACCCATTGATCATCTCATGCCTTGATTGGTGATCGGTGAAACTGAACTGTCCCTCAATCAGAGCACCAATGATCACGTATTGCCGCGGAATCCCATCAGGACTAGACTTTGGAGATCATCCTCTTCCCACAAGCTCCCCATCTGAAATTCACGTCAAATATCACCTTTTTACTTTGGCGTGTCAATGGTGGTAGTGCGATCTACAGTTTGAAGTGGATCGCAGAACGATACGAAATAAACGAGTGTAAACAAAATTTGATGTACCTGGGGATTTGCATTTTGAAGTCCTTCAAGTGACCGATCTGTGATGGCATTTGTCACAACACTCTGCGCAGCGGTGCCTGGAGACGAGGTGTAGCAGAACGCCGAGCTCGAGCCCTCAAGTGCGTAGACTGGTGCCAGTGGCTGTGCCATGGAGGACGTCGCAGGCGCACACAGCTTGTTGGCCTGCATTATACATAATTGTCAAGAAATGGACAACACAATCAACAAGAAGATCATCCACCACACAGCCTGTTTCAAGTGGTAAGGAGGAAACTACGTCTTTGGGGATGAAGCTATCCACGTCGAGTTCGAGGCGCGGGTTGACGGTCAACAGCTTCATCGACAAGAACTGTTGCGAAAGCAAACAATTATGCTCAAATTCAGAAGAATTCGTATGTTCTTTTAAAAGAAACTCTGTTATGTCCGATGGAGAGGAGATCATACGCACCTCCACTTGGCGTTGCAGCGACTGCACGTAGTTTATGATCTCATCAAGCATCACGGCCTTCCGGTTACCTTCATGAGGAATCTTTGAAAATTATCCTCTGGGTGAAATATGTGTGCATTTCAACCAAAATTTGACCAATTGTCGTCAATATTTACCTTGCTGCAGCCTGGCACGAGGTCTTGCAGCAGCTTCATGCGCTCGCTGATCTTTTCCCTCCTCACCTGAAGAGAGTCAGTGACGGCAACCATCAACAACTAATGTTTTTCTAAGAAATGCTCAATCGAAGCATAGGTGTTCGCCGGCGGCGTACCCGCTGGGCGAGGCTGTGGCTGTCGGTAGCCTGGCCCCGGCGCGCGCGCACGTGGATATAGTCCTTGGGTGGCTCTGCCGCCACCTCCTTCCCCTTGCCATTGCCATGCCATCCCTCTCCGGTCGCCGCCGGTTTCTGCTCCTTGCCATGCGTGGCGTCTGTAGAGAGCTTGCATTTCTTGGCTCTCGTCTCTGTCTCCCGGGACTTGACAGTTTCCGACATTTTCAGAGACGTGAATGACAGAGGTGTAAAAATGGCAAAACAGAGATGGTTAGTACCTTGGGTGTAGCCGTGGTGACCACGTCCTTGGCCTTGGACTTGCCGCCCGACGCCTTCCGCTTCCGGCAGGGGCCATCCCTACACGACCCGTCGCTCGCGTGCTGTTTAACAGCGCCAGGCGTGGGCACGGGCGCCGGAGCCTGCTCGCCGAGAAGCGACTAGCTGCTGGCCACACGTGAGAGCTTCCCACCGGAGACCGGGAAGCACGATGAGAGCCTCGCGGCGCGCTCCGCAAGCACCGCGTCCCCGGCGAGCGCGCACGGCGCCGCCGACTTGGAGGGGGAGCCCACCGGCGTGCTATGGCAGGACGCGTACCGGGATGACGGCGGCGACGGTACGCTGACGCCGAGCCTGCTCGCAAGCTGTTCCATCAGGGCGGCCTCAACAGCATCTCCTCCGGCGGCTGCAGCATGATCGAGCGGCCAGGATAGGTCGTGGAATCCCCCGAGGAAGACGTCGTGCGCCATCGCTGCTTGCTGCCACAACTCCACAAACGCAAAGCAGGGTGGTGGCGGAGGGTGCGCGTTGTGGTGCGGAATTAGTGGGTGCTTTAGTGGGGGCGCTTCCTCCGGGTGGGGTGGTGCGCGATCTCTAGCCTAGAGACTAGAGATGAAATAGGTGGGCAGCGGAGGGGAAGTAGAAGGACAGGGCTTTCCCGGTTTGTGATCCCAACCCATTTTGATTTTGCAGAATGTTTTTTTAAGGGGAAAATGGAGAGGACGATCAGAAAGATCTCTTTGAAAGGAGAAACTGGATGGAACCGTTTCTGGATCGATGTCCCTTGGGTGCCGGTTGTCGATGGAGTGTGTGTTTGTTGTCGATTTCGAGCCATTTGAGACTTTCAGGTTTGAAGTTTCATTATGTCAATTAAGAAAAACAGTATGGTGTATTGGAGTTCCGTAGTCTCAGTAGAAAACAATTCTCAGTCTTTGAATTATATCGTGAGTAATTTAGGCCTTGTTTCGTAGCATTTTTTTTTATAATAGTTTCGCATAAGAAACCGAGGAAGATATAGAAGTTCAGGTGACTTCACCTTTCTATTATAAGAAACACCTTCTTCTCTCTGCGGTTTTTATCGAACAGTCATTTCATGAGTAAATTGTGACGATGATGGATAAGGACTTAGATGCTGTCCTCAGCTCCATCTGCACAGCGCTGCCAGTGGAGAATAACAAGAGAGCGTCCTGCCACGATTGGCTGCCTGCGAACGAGAGACAGGGAGACACGAGGGAGAAGAGAGGATACCAGCTGATAGGACTATTCACTGATTGGTTGTGAGAGAAGCACCGTTCGTTCGCTGAAATAGTACGGCTCATAAGACAAGTGAACATAAAAGTTTTTTTTATTTTTAATCCCTTTTTAATCAATATTTTAATAATAACCGTAGTAAAAAAGAATAAGCACATCTAGCCCCTTAGGTCGCGCCAGCACCACTCTGTCGTGCCACATGCACTGGCGCGACAAGGGGTGCCACGCTATCAGCGACTGACGATCTGAGCTGGCATGGTGGAAGCGCAACCGGCCTTGTCGCGCTAGGAGGGCTGGTGTGACAGGCCGATATAGGGTTTGTCGGCCCGACCCACTTTCTTCTGTCTCTCCTTTCCTTCCCCACTTGACGCGCGCCTAGGCAAGCTGGGCGCTGATGCCGCCTCTGCCTCCCCACCTGCCCACGCTGGTGCCTACACCACCTGCCGCCGGTTTCCCCGCCTCAGGTCAGTTGAATGGCTTGATTGGGTGAGCCGCCATCCGCTAGCTAGGGTATCTGTGCGAGGGATGTGGCCCCACCGCGTCCCCACCTCCTCACACCGACGCCACCGCTCATCGGCCACCCCACCGCCTTTGAGTGGAGCAGCGTGCTCCGGTGACCATCTAACAGGTCCAGGTATGACTTTCCCTCTTGATTTTTTTGATGTGGTGGCTCATTAGTTGCATGACTAGGGTTAGGAACTTTTGGGGATTATAAATGTTTTATTGCATTTGTTGTTAGTATTTGATGCGTACTTTAGGTTTAGGATATACTCAACCCGTGGATTCGACGTAAACTACGTGTTGCATGGACCTAGGTAGTTGATAATATGATGTTGTTGGTGGTGTTGATGTCTTGGTTCATATTTTGTAGCTGGATCATTTAGTGCAATTGTTTCATGGTGGCAAAGCTAAAGGAAATGGGGAGTACCAAAGCATGAATGAGCAACTTGAGTTCTTTAGTACACCTTCTAGTTTTGATGCTTTGCTTAGCCAATGCCGGGAGAAAATGGGTTGGCCACTAAGTTTTAGAGGTCGATTTGACTGTGGGAAGGAAAGAGCACACTATGTGTTAATGGCTTTGTCATATGAGGAAGATTGGAAGAACTACTAAGTAGTTGTGAAGAGTAGCAGTGTTAGATGCTTGGAAGTTGTGGAAAAGGGGTGTAGCCCATTTGTGGTGCGTGTGGATGATAATGTCGATGTAGAGCCCGTAGAGAACCTTACCCAAGATGAAGCGTTGCAGTCGGTTATTGTTAGGGATGTTGATAGGCCCGTGGACTTCGGTGCCTTGAATGATGACATCGATTTAGAAACATTTGTGGAGGACAACGACAATGGAGATGGAACACATGAAATGGACGTCATATCCCAAGGATGGGAGGATGATGAACATGATGTTGTCTCAGCCGACAAAGATGACTATACTTTTGGGCCAAGTACTCCCGATGATTTGTTGGAGGATGAATACAGGTTTGGGCCTACTACCGAGGACAAAAGTGACTCATGTGAGGTAGGGTTTATGGAGTAATTTGGAGTCCTAGCTGACGGATCATTGAGAATGGAGTACAATGACCTTGAACTTAGGCAATTAAAGGTTGTCCATGTGGAGCTACCCTCGGAACCAAATTTCATGGACATAGTATTGTTGAGTAGGCAATATGTGACACCGGTTTTACATTGTTGGCCGATGCGGCACCAAAGAGTGAGGAGGTGGAGATTAAGAAGGGAGTGTTATTTCATACCTTAGAGAATCTCCAAATTTTTCTGATGGATTATGTCGTTAGGTTTCTCTGGCCTTATTATGTCACCCACTCAGACAGGAACAAGAGATACATCGTGCTTTGCAAGCAAGGATGTCAATCAGGACTATGGGCTTGCGGTAGAGAAACGAAAAGTGGAAGATTCACAATGTGAGGCAACCTCATACCTGTCGACCTTCAAAACCAAAGGGTGTGCACGCCCAAAATATAGCTCATTACCTTGGTCGTCCTCTTGTTGGCATTGTTTGGGGCCGATAGCGACACATCGGTTTCTAGCATTATTGAAACCATATTTGGGTTCACTAGTTATAGAGTGAAGTATTCAAAGGGATGGCAGGCAAAGTAGCATGCAATTGAGTTGCTATGGGGAGATTGGAAAGAGGTGTCCAACTAAGTTCCTCCGACTCTAAGTGTCATAAAACACTTCGATCCAGGGGTTAGGTGGTTTCCTTACGCTGGTCGCATAGTCACAGACATGGATAGCGTTTCAAAGCATGTTATCCAGAGAGTTTATTGGTCTTTCCCTTAGTTGGCGGAGGCATTCAACTATTGCCTCCTGTAGTATTTGTTGATGGTACCTTCTTGATAGGCAAGTGTTGGTATTTCTTAACGCAGACAGAAATAATCCGCAAGCACATGGAATTACCGCTATAGCTCTTCACTTGGAAGTATTCAGGGTATCATATTTTTCACAAGGAACAGAGATACTCTTCTAGCTAGTTCGTCTAAGGACAACATAAGGATAGAGTTGGCGAGGGTAGATATGGATTCTTATGGTCTTAAGGTCTAGGGATAGATAAACTCTACTTCTACTTGCTCACTTCGGGCACCAGCTTACACCTGGTCTGCCAAGCGATACCGGCCTATGGCTCTACACTGAACCCGAATGTGGGGGATTACGAGGGATGATAGGGCTGTGACCACCTACCGCCTACCCGTCAACCATGGGGCATGAGGTAAATAAAGGAGCCTCTAGCCTAGACACCACGTCTATGCTATTGACTACTACTCTAGCGTCATATAGGGTTTTCTGTCTCTATCATGAGCCCTCTACTAGAGTATTTGCTACGAGAACGGACAACGAACCTTCAAGCAAATAAGAGTAAAGCCTAGCTAATCAAAAGACTTAATACCATAAGAACCACAAACACTCACTTAGTGGAAAAATCCATTGAGTCATAGGTGTTCGTCATGGTACAAGCTAGGGAAGACTATCGACAGGTCTGGCACTTCCCTGAACTCTCCTTCACATCTCTCCCTACTACTCAACTCTAGGTAGCTATGGCCTAATCCTTGGAGTGAAGCTCAAGTGTGATGTTGCTCTTCCTTGGTGTGTTGTTGTCTTATGTGAGGAGTGGGAGCCTCCTTTTATAGGTGGAGAGGAGGGGGTTGATCCTTGGAATATTCCATGTTCCCCTCATAAACCACCAAACCGACCTCTAGGTACATTGAGCCTACCCCATACCTCATCAACCGACCTTAGTGAGGCGGTATTTGTTCATCCACCAAGTCTAGGCTGGTTTAGGCTTAGAAAGGGTGCGGCCGCCCCCATACTAGCCCCGTTCAGTTTCATCTTTGGCGGGTAATTGCTTTGTGGGCTTCTCATTTGGCCCATGGTGGTTTGGCACAGAGTTGAGATGTTTTTGCTTTGGTTTATGGGCTTGTTGTCCACATGACTGGGCCTTGATTTGCCTGGTAATTGGGCCTTCTCCCTTTGGCTCATGTCGGATGTTTGTATTGTTGTGTTTCTTGTATACTTTTAGAATATTTCCTGTGTTATTCCAATATGTCCTGAACATTCACCAAACTTGTGGAATCTGTTAGTTTATAATCCCTATCGCTACATTTGGTGTCCATTTTATGTGATATTTGGTGGTTAAAAATGGGAGGTAAGGACCGCCAACAAGCTCCCCCACACTTAGCCCTTTGCTTGTCCTCAAGTAAACTTTTAAGGACTAAGGTCGTTCATCTCCTTGATATGATATCTGCATACAATATTCCAAGCTTCACCTTAACCTATGAACTTTTGAGTGTCTATTGTTGGCGATCCTTAACTCCTATTTTTAACCGTCAAATAAACAATAAAATGAACTCATATGAACACCAAACTTAGAATTAGGGTTTATAACTAACAAGTCCTACAAGTTTTGGTGATTCATCATTTGCAGGAGGACATGTCGGAATAACATAGAAAATGTGCCTAAAAGTATATGAGAAACACAACCATACAAAAATCCGACATGAGCCCAAGGGGAGAAGGCCCACCTACCAGGCAAATCAGAGCCCAAACTAGGTGAAAAACAAGGCCAAACCCAAACCAAACATTCTCCAAATTGCGCCAAACTTTGAAGGAGCAGCCCATGCATCCCTAGAGGCCTACACAACAAAGATTGGGCCACTATGGCACCACTAGGGTGTGGCCACACCCTTGGTGCGCCCACACCCCTACGACACGTCTTGGGCCCATCCTTTGTGGGTTGTCCCTTACCGCCTTACCTACGTTGGTTCCTAAGGTTTGGTCTAGGTTCAGTGCATCTAGGATAGCAGTTTGGGCACTTTATGAGGGGAATATTCCATGGACATCCCCTCCTCTCCACATATAAAAGGAGGACCTCTCCCATCACTCAAGAACAACACACAAGAGCAAGAAGAGCAAACAACAAGAGCACCGTTCCAAAAAGTTTAGGCCCTAGCTAGCTAAAAAAGTTGTAGGGAGAGATGTGAGGGAGAGTTCAGAGAAGTATCGGAATTATTGGTAGCTTTCCCACGCTTGTACCTCGATGAACATGAGCTTTGTACCTTGACAGGGTCTTTTGCCAAGTAAGTTTTCGTGGTTCTTTTGGTATAAAAGTCTTTTGATTAGTTAAGCTTTATTTTTATTTGCTTGCGGGTTCGTCGTCCGTTCTCATAACGGGTACTCTAGTAGAGGGCCCTAATAGAGATGGATAACCCTAATCAACGCTAGAGTAGTAGTCGATAGCATAGACGTGATGTTTAGGCTAGAGGCTACCTTCATTTGCCTCATGCCCCACGGTTGAGGGGTAGGCATCAAGTGGTGATAGCCCTGTACGTCCCTTGTAATCCCCCACTTTTGGGTTTGGCGTAGAGCTATAGGCCGGGATCGCTTGGCAGACCAGGTGTGATTCGGTGCCCGAAGTAAGCAAGTAAAGGTAGAGGTTATCTATCCATAGACCATAAAAGTCATAGGCATCCATCTCTATCCTTATCAGCTATCCTTGTGTTGTCCTTGGACGAAAGCTAGAAGAAATACCTTTGTTCCCTGTGGAAATACGATACCCTGAATACTCAGGGTGAAAGCTACAATGGTAATTTTGTATGATAGCGGATTAATTCTGTAGATGTTATGAAATACCAACAAGCTTTCTAGCGCTGTTGCCGGGGAACGGTTGTTGGCATTTCTTAGCGTCACCACTAGGATTTGTGTGTCCTGGCAATGGTACTAGAAATGCCTTGAGCATATTTCTGAACGCATACAGAAATATTCCACAAGCGCATAGATATATCGTTGTAGCATTTCACCCGAAAGTATTTTGGGTATCGTTCATTTATATTTTCCATGTTATCCGTCTTTATCAGGGCCCTCTAATAGAGTATTCGTCTCAAGGACGGACGATGAACCCACAAGAAAATAATGACCAAAACTTACTTAAAGTAGAACTCATATCCTGAACTTAGGTCTTTGTCTAAACATGTATATTGTATGAAAGTTCAAGCATAGAGTATCATACGCTAAATGAATAACATAAGAACTTTGCACTAATTTCATAACATAGCTATATTAATAAGATAAACAAGAACATAGAAGGACTCTTCATATTGATCATACCAGGATTCCTTCTAGATGTCCTAGCTCTTCCACAAAGCTTCTTGCCTAGCTCCAAAACTACTAAAAAGGTAAAAAGATACAAATGGAGAGAGGCTCTTGAGTGTGGTGTGTGTTTGAGAGAGAGCTCCCCCTCCTTTTATAATAGCTACGGGTCGGTTTGGGGGTTATACATGGAAACATCCCAAACCTACCTCCCTGTGCCTTGAATGAACAGCCAGAGGAAAGTGGGCCTGGGAGGCGGCAGAGGCTGTGCGGCCGCACCAGGCCTGGCCCATCTTGCACCGCCTTTGCGTGGTCGGTTCCTAGATGGGCTTAGGCCTCGGTTGTGTTGGTGGTTGGCCCAAATACTTCTAGAGAATTGGCCTTTCTCTATTTCTTTGGCTAAGTCTACTTTACGCTTTGCCGGTTGGCGCCTTTTGATCACATTTCACATGTATTTCATATCCCTACTACAGAAAGTTTATTCACCAACGGTTTTGAGATAACTGGCGGTGATACGTATCACCGCCGGCCTGTTACCTACGGGACCCCTCCAGGCTAAATTACCGATGTTGATTGCCGGTTTCACCGCTGGGCCGGTGTATGATTGGGCGGTAAACACAATATCAACCTTCGCCGCCGTGTCGTCCGTTGAACCTGCAGTGAAAGAGTTTTCACCGCTGGTTGCCCATTCTATGTTTGACGCCCGATAAACCGGCAGAGGTAATAGTTTTTTTACTATCGGTGCCCAGATGGACGTGTGTGCTACAATAGGATCCAGCAGTGAAACAAGCTATCACCGTCGGATTACCGTATGATCTAGCGGTGAATCAACCATTGTTTGAATGGACACGTTGGTGATCTGAAGTCAACGTCAGTGCATTACGGTGATGGTTGATGGTTGATGCTCAAAATCTGTGCTGTCCACTAATGCGTATTGGA